CTGTAATTGCACAAACATAGAAAAGCTAGTGGTGGATATTTTTGAAGAGTTTCGTATTATAATTTCTGAATGAATAAACAAGAGTTCTACCTCCCGTATATATACAGACGGAGGGATACATTAATAAGGTAAGTAAATAAGAGAAGAATCCTATACAAAGGTAACTACCATTAACACAAAATATTAAATATGGAAATATTTAACATGCTTCCAGCTACGTTAGTGAAGGTCTTGCGTCGGAAATCAGAAAAGAGTAGTGATGGCAGTCCTTTTGTGAAGATGTCAGCAAACCGTGATGAAGAGGGAACATGGAGAACTCAAACATGGCCAATTGCTACTTTATCTCCGATAAAGTGAATGTCGAATTCAACATGTTTTGTGCGCTGGTGCTGAACTGGATTTGAGGATAGATAGACAGCGCTAACATTATCACACAAAACGAGTGTGGCTCGGCGAAGGGGTAGCTGTAGCTCAAGCAGTAGGTTTCGAATCCAGCTAGTCTTAGCAACGGCATTAGCAACTGCTCTGTATTCGGCTTCGTGACTCGAACGAGAGGTAGTAGCCTATCGTTTTGAAGACCATGAAGCAAGATTGTCGTCGAGGAAAATGCAATAACCTGAGGTAGAGCGCCGTGTGTCAGGGCAACTTGCCTAATATGTATAAGAATAGGCCTAAAGAGGTTGACCGAGAAAGAGTGATCCCATGAGTGATTGTGTCATGGAGGTAACGTAAGACGCGCTTTAATGCAGTGAGGTGTGCGGTCCTTGGGAAATGGATATGAAGACAGAGATGCTGGACAACATATGTAAGATTCGGACGATTATATGTGAGATACTGTAGAGCTCCTACAATGGATCGGTAAAGGGAGAGATCCTCAACTGGGTCGCCCGTGGTGGCAGAGAGCTTGCATTTACTATCAATAGACGTAGAAATGAGCTTGCAAGAGAGCATTTGCGCACGTTAAAGGATTTAATGAGCAAACTGGGTTTGATGTAAGAAGAGGCATGCTGTGGTACGCTGAACAATTATGCCCAGAGAGAAATTGAGTTCACCCTTGTCACTCATAGCGAATTCCCTCTTCATACTCTGTGAGATTCTGTGAAGCTAATGTCTTGAGGAGGCAGTAAGAATAATATCATCAACATAAAGAAAGAGATAAGCCCTTTTATGTCCGCAAGAGTAATCAAAAAGGGAGATGTCTGCCTTGCACCCATGAATTCTAATCCTTTGAAGAAAATCACCAAAGTGCAAATACCATGAGCGAGCAGCCTGCTTTAACCCATAAAGAGCTTTCTTAATTTGGCAAACATAATGCGGGCGGGAGGGATCCTGAAATCCATATGGGTGACTAGCATAAACTATTTCTTGCAGATGCCTGTGAAAGAAAGCATTTTTCACATCCAACTAGTGAATGGGCCAACCTCACGAGAGTGCGATGCTGAGGAGAATGCAAATGATGGCTGGCTTGATGACGGGGATGAAGGTCTCACCGTAGTCAACACCAAAACGTTGGTTGAACCCTCGGACCACCTAACGAGCTTTGTACCTAGACAGATCACCTGTAGGACCAAATTTATGACGCAAAAGCCATTTTCTAGAGATAATATTTTGGTTAGGGGATGGTGGTACTAGTTCCCATGTGTTATTCTTTATCATGCATTAATTTCATCACACATTGCATTATACCAATTGGGGTCCTTGAGTGCACTAAGGTAGGTAGGGGGAAGGGGGAAAGTATGGGCTGTGGTGTTGAGGTTTAGAATCTGCCTCAGACGAGTAATGCCGGACTTTGCTCGGGTGGTCATATGGTGGGTATTTTGGGTGAGTGTGGGTTGGGTGTTCTCGGCTTGGGGAGGTGCTGGTTGAGCCGAGAATGGTTTGGACTGGGTGTTGTCTTGAGCCGTGGGCTGGGATGGGTTGGCTTGGGCCATGAGAGGATAATCAGGTTAGGTTGGGGTTGGGGTGGGTTGTGACAATGTGGGTATGGGCTAGGGTGGGGAAGACCGAATGAGTGGTGGATTTAGGTGATAAGGGATGGAGTCTTCCATAGAGTCAAGGAAACGAAAATCCTCGGGTGTGGGTGGATGAGTGAAGGGAAAAGTGGACTCATCGAAGACAACATGACGAGAAATGATTATCTTGTGTGTGGTAAGATCAAGGCACCGGTAACCGCGTTGGTTAGTGGGATACCCAAAGAAGTTGTAGCGAGCTGAGCGAGGGGATAGTTTGCGTGGTGCGTTGGCGGAAGTTTGGGGTAACACAGGCATCTGAAGACGAGAAGGTGGGAGTAGTCTTGGGGAGAACCAAACAGTCTCTCATGAGGGGTGCGGTTTTGGAGAGTGATGGTGGGGAGGAGGTTGTAGAGATGACATGCCATATTTAGTGCTTCGACCTAATAGGAGGGGGGGAGTTGGGCTTGGAAGAGAAGGGTAGGAATGGTGTTATTGACAGTGCGGATTGTGCGCTCAGCTCGTCCATTCTGTTGACTAGTGTGAGGGAAGGAAAAACGGAACAAAATGCCAAGAGAGTTAAATACGTTTTGCAGGGATGAGTTTCAGTATTCTGTCCCGTTGTCACATTGAACGACTTTAATGGTTTTATTAAATTGATATTGCACATATGCAATGAAATTAGTAAGATGTGAAAAAGCACCAGATTTATGACGTTAAGGAAACACCCACAAGTTATGAGAAAAGTCATCTAACATAAACATATAAAATTTAAAACCAGGAAAACTAAGAACATGGGATTGCCATAAGTCAGTGTGCATTAACTGAAAAGGAAACATGGAAACACGACTAGAAGCAGTAAATGGAAGACGAACATGTTTGCCTAACTAGCACACATGACATAATGAATGCATAAACTTTTTATTAAATAAATGGGAAAGACTGGGGACTCCATAAAGGACTGCATGGCTCGGATGGCCGAGACGACGATGACATGTTTCAGCAATGGAGGCAACGTTGACTTGGGCAACTGGATCTGGGGGGCGCAGAGGGTAGAGTGGGTCGTTATTATTGGACCGACAAATCACGATTCCCATCAAAGGATCCTTCACAAAAAAACCATGTGAGTCAAATTCAACAGTACAGTTATTATCACGGGTAATTTGTTTGACAGAAATAAGGTTATGAATAATATGAGGGGATACAAGGACATTATTAAGGGAGAGGGGTGGGTAGGTGGGGAAAATGTGAGTTCCGGTAGTCGTAGTGCGGACTTTAGAACCATTTCCAACAGTAATAAATGTGGGAGAATTTAAAGTTTGAGAATTTACATGAGAAATAGTACTTGGGTCAGATGCTATGTGATGTGATGCCCTAGTATCCATGAACCACGTGGGTTCATGGAGAGTCATGGTGTCAAATTATTGGGAAAGAGCGGTTGGGGTTTTGGTTTGGGCATTGTTTGGGTTAAACCTGAAGGTGGGTTGGGGTGAGGCGTAAGGGGTATTCAGGTAAGGGGCTGGGTTTGGGTAAGGGTAAAAGTTGGTGTTCGGGTAGGGGTATGGTTGATTTGGATTATTTGGGCAGGTGGTGGAGGTGTAGGGGGCTTGGGGATATGGGCTTGAGTTTGGGCGCGGGCCTAGAAGACCCGGGCCGAGGAATGCGTTAGGGGTCTGCCAAGGTTCGTAGCTACCATAGAGGGCCTTGAATTCAAACAGCTATTCCGACCTCGACCACGACCGCGGTTTTGCCGTCCGCCCCAATACCCGCTGTCAGAGTTCCCTCCACACCTGTCAGTGCTGCCACCCTGTCCGTCGTCGCTGTACTGGAATGGCTGCCCCGTGCACTGCCCACTGCCGTGATGGCCGACGGCTGCCAATGATGTGGAGTTGTCGGTGGTGGTGTCGTCAGTGGGGTGGTGCTGCTGCTCTAGGAGGAGAAGGGCTGAATGCATCTCTAGGAAGGTAGGATGAGGCTTTTGGAACTACAGGGATGATGCTCGAGTGCCGAGATCATCCGGGAGACCCCGCAGCGATTGAAGAACCAATTTATTTTTAGTGCCAGGAGCATCAACTCATCAAGCCAATCAGCAATATTCCGGAGATTCTGACAATATGTCGTGATGGAGGTTGAGCCTTTGGTGGTGCTGTAAAACTTGTTCTCAAGTTGCATGGCACGAGCGGCCTTATTGTCATGAAAGAGATGGTATATGGCCCTTCAAAGATCTGCCGCTGAGGTTGTTTAAAACATGATGAGATCCGAGACTTTGTCTGTAATAATGGACAGAATCAACCTTTGGATTAGGGCATCGAGTTGAATCCATTCGATGTCATATTTTCCAGAGGAGATGGTTGTGGCGGGGAGAAAACCTTCGAGGTTAAATCATTGAACAAGGAGAAGGAAGAGACAACTCCACTTCTTGTAGTTTGGTTGTGAGAAGCTTAAGAGAACGAGAACTTGAAGCTTGACATTTGAAACCGTCGTGAAGGCAAGGTGGGGGGGGGGGGATTTGCCATGGCTGGAGTAGGGGAAGAAGATTATTTACAGATATGGTGATGGGAGAAGAAGAGGGGGCCGAAGAGAGAGGAGCGAAGTTGAAAGGGGGTGGCGGCATTAGATGGTGTCGCCAAACAAAAGACAGTAGAGGGGGAAGGTCACCGCAGGTGGAGGGGGAGGATTTTAGTCGTTGTGCCCATGCCTTAGAGGGGGTGAATAAGGCGTTTGAAAACTTTTTGAAGTTTAATAAAAATGGTGTTGGCAAATGCAGAAGCAATATATAAAGCGCATAAATAAAAGCGTAAATAAAATGCACACCGATTTTATACTGGTTTGAGAACTCCCTACTCCCGTACCTCGAGGATCCTCCTCAAGGGTTTCTGAATCCACTAAATCCTCGTCTCTTGAACTCCATCAAAGCACCACACTAGTTTTGGAAAACAATCCTTGCCAATAGGATTCACTCTAAGATTTCACAATGGCTATTTCGAACTGCTTACAATGAAGATTTAACGGCTATCTTCTACTGATCCCCGAAGGATTACAAAGGCTATC